AATTGTAAAAGTAAGTCTCTTCATAAAACTCCAATTAGATGTCTTTCAATTATATAAGTCTGCATTCGCAAAATAATTTCAGCATCTTTTGAATAGTAATGTAGCTCTGGCATCTAGTCGTCTTATAAGCCAGTCATGTGTGAACAGTAAATGGAGAGTAATATACCCTGGTGTTTTGGTCCTAGTTCAGCGTACGTTTTATCCTTCTGCACATAAAGCATATGACTGAATGTTCAAATTGTGTCCTTTTCAAGCTTTTAATATAAATTAAAAACAAGTTTAAGTCAGGTTTACATCTTTTCAGTAATTTCAATTAAAGGCAAAATTGTTCCCATTTTTGCCAATGGTGACATAAAGATACGATTAACCTAGAAAATACAAAGCACTGTGTATGGCCCCATTCTGGACAGAAAGGAATGACTGGTGGGCTCCAATGAAGGCGCCTAACCGCACGTGCAGCCTCCCGACACCAGCTCCGCTGTCCCGATCGTTCTCAGGGGCATAGGCTGCAGTTCCACATCTGACAACTGTCAAGGAACTTTATGAAGAATCAAAAGGAGTCGGAAGAAATTGAACAGACATTTCAATCTATTTTGATTATATCTATATTTGAAAAATTATGAAGACTTATAACATAACATCACATGATAGTTGGTGTGCATAAATTAACGGATACACTAGCGACAAAAAATAACACAAAAACACACTTTCACTCTGCTTACAAAACATTCGTCTTATTTGCCACCATCGATGGCCAGTTCTATCATTTAGTGAATATACACAAATAACACCAAACTAATTAAATGTTATTGGTGCTTTTAAAGCGTTTGGCACATAACACAAAACTTTTTTTTCTGATAAGGGTGTTAAATTTTAAAATAACAGACACACAGACTTTGCACGCACACTGCTCTCAGCAGGAACATCCGCCCCCTTCCGGTTCTTGGCCCACGTGGTCTATGGACGACGGAAGAAGTTCTATATCTGAAGCTGTCGTCAAGGATATCATATTTAAAGTAATTTTCGTTATTTAGGGATTTGTAATACCATGCAAGCATTTTAATCTATAAATAAAACTGGACCATTATATTTCAAATGTGAATTCCAATTGACATGCAAACATTGCTTCATCTTCATTCGACAATTCGCAATTAAATTCTGTGAACGATGCAGTAACCTTGTTAATTAGGAAATACATTTATAAATTGAATGATTAGTGATATATTTATACAAATGGTTAAGCCATTAGATTTTAACACTAAATTGTCTAGGGAATTGCTCTGTTCGCCTGAGCATCACAAGGAGCACCAAGAGGGTGTTGCCGGTCTACATGGGATGCTTACCCCTCCACGGCATCTGATCCCACTCTGATGTTTGTAGACACGTCTATGTTTGCTCCGATTCCAGTTCGTATTCTTTCAGTGGAATAATGAGATACAGTTCGTGATATAAATGTCATAAAACTGGTAGCTGTATCATCCCAACATTAACATGGTTCTTTTAATTTATAATAAACAACAAATAAATACCACTAGGGTGGTTTCGACCTATTCTATGTATAGCCATTTTTTTTTTTCGAAAATGCGTACATCTATATACACTGGTTCGTGAATTCTTACGATTCATCAGAAAATTTTGTTTTCAAAGTTGGGGCTTTATTCGTTCATACGTTTTATGAATAAACTTTTATAGCTTCAGATATGGTCTAGTTATCTATGACTTTAAATCTCAATTTTCAATTTGAGAGTCTAAACTACCTTTTTGAATGTTGCGGCAATCGCAAATAGATCTTCAATAAGTTCCAAAAAATATTTCCATTCCATCCAACACAGCATCAATCAACGTTTGTTTGATTGCACAGAAATGTTGGTCGTGAACACCCTTGGACGAAGGGGGAGGGACTCCATTCCTCAAATGGAGAACTTTATTGTACATTCGTGATTTGATTTGTTCAGTTCTTTTAATGGTCACAAATAGGCTTCCGTAATCCTTCCCTTTTCTTTTCAATTGATCCATCATTTAAATTTCTTCTTAAACAAGAGGCCCATGGGCCGAAACACACGCCTTAGTAACGAGTCCTACTTTCCTCATCATAATGTTTTTAGCTCACCTGAGCCAAAGGCTCAAGTGAGCTTTTCTGATCACAATTTGTCCGTTGTCTGTCGTCGTCGTCGTCGTTGTTGTCGTCGTTGTAAACTTTTCACATTTTCGACTTCTTTTCAAGAACCGCTGGGCCAATTTCAACCAAACTTGCCACAAAGCATCCTTGGGTGAAGGGGATTCAAGTTTGTTCAAATGAAGGGCCAGGCCCTCATTCAAGGGGAGATAATTGGGAATTAATGAAAATTTGATGGTATGTTTTAAAAATCTTTTTCTCAAGAACCACTGACCCAGGAAAGATGAAACTTATGGGGAAACATCCTCAGGTAGTGTAGATTCAAGTTTGTTCAAATCATGACCCCCGGGGGTAGGGCGGGGCCACAATGGCCGACCAAAGTTTTACATAGAAATATATATAGGAAAATTCTTTAAAAATCTTCTTCTCAAGAATAACAAAGCCATAATTGATCATATTTATATGACAGCATCTTCAGGTAGTGTAGATTCAAGTTTGTTCAAACCATGACCCCCGGGGGTAGGGCGGGGCCACAAAGGCCGACCAAAGTTTTACATAGAAATATATAGGAAAATTCTTTAAAAATCTTCTTCTCAAGAACAACAAAGCCATAATTGATCATATTTATATGGAAGCATCCTCAGGTAGTGTAGATTCAAGTTTGTTCAAATCATGACCCCAGGGGGCAGGGCGGGGCCACAATGGCCGACCAAAGTTTTACATAGAAATATATAGAAATTTTTTTAAAAATCTTCTTCTCAAGAATAACAAAGCCATAATTGATCATATTTATATGGAAGCATCCTCAGGTAGTGTAGATTCAAGTTTGTTCAAATCATGACCCCCGGGGGTAGGGCGGGGCCAAAATGGCCGACCAAAGTTTTACATAGAAATATATAGAAATTTTTTTTAAAAATCTTCTCAAGAATAACAAAGCCATAATTGATCATATTTATATGGAAGCATCCTCAGGTAGTGTAGATTCAAGTTTGTTCAAATCATGACCCCCGGGGGTAGGGCGGGGCCACAATGGCCGACCAAAGTTTTACATAGAAATATATAGGAAAATTGTTTAAAAATCTTCTTCTCAAGAATCACAAAGCCCTAATTGATCATATTTATATGGAAGCATCCTCAGGTAGTGTAGATTCAAGTTTGTTCAAATCATGACCCCAGGGGTAGGGTGGGGCCACAATGGCCGACCAAAGTTTTTCATAGACATATATATGAAAATTCTTTAAAAACCATCTTATCAAGAATAGCAAAGCCAGGATTGGTATTGGGACTACTTTTGGATTTAAATTATTAAATAATAAACCAATTTCCACTTTTTCCTAGCCACAGTGCTCAGGTGAGCGATGTGGCCCATGGGCCTCTTGTTCTTTTTTATATTCCCCTCTTTACTAATCTAGCTCTTTGGGAGCTTCGATTCATCAACATTGAATCCAACATTCAATATCAGTGCAATCAATATGGCCCTGTTGCTATGTATACATACATTAATTATGTATAATTTAGATCTATTATTTTGGTCCATCCCCAACTCAAAGCCTTTTTTTATTCAGGAAACAAACTTCAGAGACAATAGAGTTCTGGTAGAGAAAAATATTATTTAACCTATTCAGATGAAGAAACTCCTGCAAATTAAGTTTTACAACTTTATCTTGGTCCAATGTTACGTTTAAAATTCTTGGATTTATTCTTAATTATAGTATACCATACAGTAAACTAACTACACAAAAGTATCCTGAAAATAGAATACAATGTTCAGAGGGTACAAAGGACCCTCTATTACACTGTTTTTGAACTTAGACAAACTAATTTGGCATAAAATAGGATAGATGTATTCTGAAACGAACTCATCAATTTTTCAATATCTGGAGTTTGCCTGTTTTATTCAGAAAAAATCTCAGACAATGAAGTAATGATAAAGAAAATTTGCTTTTGCTTTCTTATGAGAAAATATTCAATCAGCGCTGCTTAAAATTCGCTCTTTTTTATGTCTAATGGTGGATCAGTCTAACTACACAAATGTACCTAAAATAAGGGTGCAGTGTACATAGAGAGGTTCCTAATTGATGTTAAATTTTCATAATAATACACGTACGGTAGTTTTTTTAAATTTCATATGGTGTAGTTTCTCCCCATTTCCAAACTAAATTATTTCACTTCAAATGTATTCAAACAAATAAATATAACCTTCCTTCACCAGCACTCATAAGTGAGCAAGAAAATTGTTAAAAATACTCAAATTTGAACAATAAACCAATATTTAACTTGCAGTCAATATAAGAAAACATCTTTAATAATTTCATTTAATTTATATTTTTAGTTAGCCACAAGCATACACAACATACATGCTAAAATGCAATTATACATGGCAAAAACACATAATAAATAACAGCATTAAAATCAGAAGTGCTGAACATTAATGAAGTGTTATAAATGCATAGTTAACTGCATACTGTAGGACACATTATATATTCTGAACATACAAATCCAGCACAGTTATATAGATATGTCAACGTCACAGATTCATTTCTCCCAATCACAATATCCTTCTTCTGATTAATAAAACATTGTATCTACACTCTCCTATACAGCACCTATGACACTTGATAATCAAACATAAAAAATATTGCCTTTGCCTCTTTGTTAATTAATAGTTAATATAGCAGTTAATTTGTTTTTATACTGTAAATAACCTTTTTTTTTCAAGGAGTCTTTTATTCTATATTCCTGTTTGAAATTATCTGTGACGGTTGTTTTTGTCACTGAGGAAACCTTAAATTCAACAAATAATTTACTTCAATAAATATTACAAGGAAATCAAGGTTCCAAACTTGTAAATAATTCTTGTAGGTGAAAAAAGTTATACAAGTACAATATATTTACTAATGAGTATGAAAATAAGTATTTGGGGTCATGGGCAGCAATCAACTTATAATTATTAAATGTTTGGCTTATTCTAGTAAATAAATATTAATAATTTAATGAAAACTGAAATGAAGCAAAACATTTGCCAAAGGGTAATCAAGTCAAGTGATTCAAACTAATGACATTTGAACACATACATCTCAAAAAAAAGTAAAATTTACAACTTTTCCAAACAAATCTATTCAGGTATTCAAAATGATAAACAGAAACATGCAAATGAAATTATGTCAATGTTATTTGATCAGAGTCTTTAACATGCATAAAATAAATGGCTGGTATATGGTACAAATGTAAACATTATAAGTGACAGTGTGTAGTATGTTAACACATTACAGCACCTATGCAAGATTTCAGTGCTGTATATTGTCTTAGAATTTCGGAGGGTCTCTTGAAAAAAAAAAACACTGTCTGTTCTCCAGCCTGGACTGAATTCCTTTGTAGCTGGCGAGTTATTTTTAAATCCTGCCTAGAGAGACCACCCACACCCTCAGCACGAACACCCTCCTTCCTTGTGCTCCGGTTCTACGGGGCCTGTGTCCTTCAGTTTAACCTCCGTCACTGAGGTCAAAGGTTAAGGAAACAAAAAATAAATAAAAAAAAGCAAAATACTACCAAAACAAATCTTTTACAACATGAAATGATGACCTTTCTTTTTCAAAGGAATTGTTTTTCAAAAATCATTCTGAAATACTAAAAAGATTCTTCACTTTTTCTTTAAAAAGGAATCACCCAAACAAAAATAAAATGAGATGATAAATCTAATGCAATCAACTGAATATGATTATATGACAGGGATATTAAACATTTGACCTTTCAAATGATTCAGTAAATGTTATCAAATTATAATTAATTCAAATCAGATGCTATGATGGAAGAAAAAAATGAATTCCCTTCCATTATCTTTAGAAGACCTCCTCCATCGAGTGGGGTGTTTTAATTTTGAATCAGTAATACCGGTAACAGAGAAGACGAAGAAGAAAGAACTAAAGTGTTGTGTTGTGTTATAAAACAATCCCAGTAAATACTTTTTTATTTGTATGAAGTTTCTGAATATCTACATCATGCATATCAGTTCCTCAATAAGTGTAATCAAGCAATCTATAACTCAGTATCTACCAATATTCAGTTACACTGCCATGCATACTGAAAATAAAGCAATTCATGCAAAAGTGCAAACCACTACCTCAATGCAGAATTTTTTTTTAATTCATCAATTATTTGTACTTTTTAAGAAGAAATGGAGATGCTTACCCTTGCTTGCTTACAAGGTATTATTTGAAGACAAGAAACATTATCAACATTTTGTTGTAATTCTGAGACCTAGAATTATTGAGAACTTCAGGTGTTTTTTATCAGCATGTTCCCGTTAATACAGTATCTGATACCTTAAAACGAAGGTATGTTTCAATACTTATTGCTGATAAATTTTTCACAAAGTCCTGTATGACATAAACTGAGATCATTGGAAGACTTAATGATCTTCTTAGCTACTTCCTGTCTCGACTAATTACTCCTTAAAGATTCCATCTCACTGTGAAAAAAAATTATTTTCTGCTAAATCAGAATTTGTCTTCTTTCCCACTCCCAAAGCAAGCAAAACTTTTAAATGCTCACTAAAAATACAATCAAACCTCGTTATCTCAAACTCGATGGACCAAAAGACCTTCATGATATTTGGATTTGATGTATTGAAGGGTAAATACAATGTACTTAATAATATGTGAATGGCACTTCAAAAACATTTTGACAATATCCACAGCATTTGAGATATCAGTGTTTGAGATACTGAAGTTTAAATGATTAGTCTACTGCAAATGCATTTGTATATACCTTTATGCATAAAATACTTAAGTATTCAATGATACAAATTAATAAAAGCCTAATAATGTATTTACTGAAATACTAATATACTTAAAGATTAAATAGGATCCAAAATTATGTCTTGTAAACCTGACCCGACAATAAATACAAGCTAAAGGCTCCGAGCAGATTAACTCGAGAGAGCCAAACTTACCATTCAGCATCCCTAACTGGGGCTGTCACGGGTAACCCAAATGACCGAGAACCGCGGAACAATCAATTCGGGTGGGGTTTGGTTCTGTTTTTCCGGAATTCGGTTTGGTTCTGATTTGTACAATAAAGTAGGTTTTACCATTAAACAGCGTCTTAAACAAAAGATTTGTTAGTGTGGATATATTTCGACCATTATTATAATAATAATATGTGATTTGAATCATTTGGTTCAATTATTTTTATAGTCAGGATACTACTTTAAACTAGTCATTATGTTACTGTTTGTTAGATTGAAAAAAAATTTAATAATTTAGTTGAATATAATTCAATTCTTGAGTTTTTATTATATTATATTTACTGTGTTTTCACTGTGTTTTTCTACTAAGCTAACTGTGAAATTGATTTTATACCATTTTCGTGTAAACTCGTGTAGAAATATACACGGAGAAATGTGCGATTACATGACGTCACAATAAGGCTACAGCGACGTTAGTAAAAATATACAACATAGGGCAGCGAGAAATTCAAATATTGAGTATATTTTTGGTGCTTTCAAACACGTAAAATGTAAATATAAGGAATGTTTATAAGTTAAGTGCGAATTATTGGTGCTTGAATCACACAGACTTGCACGTAGACATATTTTTCATGAAGCGCGAAATATGCCTACGTGACAAGTCTGTGATTCACACACCAATAACTCACACAAAACTTAAAAACATTCCTTAATTATACACAGACCGAAAAAAACTGAAATCGAACCAAAAAAATTTAGAACCAACCCAACCGAAAGATTATGGAACAGTGACAGCCCTTTCCATAACATTAATCATTACAGGACATCGATAAAGAAAAAGGATACTCTCTCCTTTCTTTGTTTCTGTTTGTTCCATTCCTGGTAATGCTGCAGCGACTCGCCGGAACAACTGTATGTAAAATATATCCCATGTCATACTTCATCTCATTTACATGTTCACAAATAGACAAATAAGGAATAATCTTAGATTTTAAAATAGCTAATGAAATTCAATTTCTTGTTTTGGTTTTAGAATAAAAGTCTCAATAAGAAGAATATTCAACAATAAGATAGCAAGTTAAACAGAAATAAATTTAAGTATTTTAATAACATATGTGAGCCTAAATAATCAGAAAGTAAGATCTTAATTTTAAATACAAAATAGTTGAACTTGACATTCCAGAAAAACCTTCAGCAAATTGCAAAACATACCTGTGATTTCTAAGCCACTCAAATGACCTACCTGTTTTACATTGTAACCAGCCTTTGCACTTGTTTCAATAAACATAACACTCAGCTCTTTAGCTTTCCTCTCTCCTTCTTCTGTTGTAATCTGCCTGAAAAAATTCAAATTTATTACATGTATTATCAATGTAACAATACTATTCCATCAGGCAACAACAAGCATACCCACTTAATTTCTTTTCTTTACAGAAATATCAAACATAAATTATAGATAATAAAACTAGGAAAGGAACAGTTTTATTACCATATGTACATTTTTAACAAATTATGAGTTCAAGGTAATCAGTGCTGCATGCAGTGATCATCACAACGAGCTAGCACAGTTCCTCTTAAAAATACCAAACATAAACTACCGTTTCTAAGTATACACTGATACATGACAAAATTAGAGGAAATGACTGGACCAAATGGCAGACAAATTTCCAAATAATCAGATAGTAACTTTTTCGTTTATATTTTTCAATTTGTACAAATGGAATTTCTCTGAATTTTTACACATAAATTACATAAGCATCTGTCAGTAAAACTGATATTTGTGTCTTTCGAAATTATACCGTCACTGCACTTACACGTATGAATAAATGAAAATTTTATTGAAAAATGTCAGGATGATGTAGGTTTGAAAAGATAACAATCTATTGACATTTAATGATACCTTTTATCCGACAGATCTGTTTTATTTCCGACCAACATAATTATGACATCACTTCCTCTCTCCGTCCTGACGTCATCTATCCATTTTGACGTCTGTTGAAAAGAGTTTGCATCTAGAAGAACAATTATTTTACATTTTAAAGTACATGCCATATTGTGTATTCATTTACAAACATTGATTATCCTAGAAATATAAAATTTCTGGGTTATTTGTTTAAAAAATAATGTAAATAATACCAAGTTACTATCCAGGATATCATACGTATGGCTACATAAAATTATATCTCTGGTTTTCAGGCCAATTTTCTCCAAAACAGATGCAGGAGTGAGGCTCTTTTTTGTCATTTAATAATAGGCAATAAAGTAGATAAGAGAAGTTTTTTTTTTAATATCAATACCCAAATTTTATATAAAACAAGAGATGCTTGTAAAACACTTATCCCCCCCCCCTCCAATTGGAATTTTTTTACATCCAAAAGGGCACAACTCTGTCAAAAATGGCAAAACAGAACTTGACCTAGATATTCATCTGATAAATCTGTATACTAAATTTCATTTCAGTATGTGTAACCTCTGCAAAGGAAATGAAAGGAAACTGCAAATAATTGAAATTTTTCTAAGTCCAAGGTGCATAACTCTGTCGAAAATGGTGCGATCGTACCCAAAACAGAACTTTTTTAAAATAGGTAACCAAGCTCTCCTTGAAAATTGCCACCAGAAGTAAAATATGAGTACTAAAATACAAATAAGGGTAGAAATTTTCTTCAGGATAGGTCCCCACATTACCAACTTTTTATATTTAAAACAACAAGATGTGTTTCTGAAACACAATGCGCCCTGCAGCAACAAAGTTCAAATCAAAAGCCTGAAAGGCTTCAATGGCGTCGAACAAGAAAACAATTTCAAAAGATCTGCAGATAGGTCAAGTGAGTGACTCCGTTAACATAATAATAAAATTTAAAAAAATAGTCTTAACACAAATACAGTATAGGGCCTGATAGCCTTGTGTCCTGGTCCGAATGAGTCAGGGTTCGAATTGACCAGACATCGTCAGAAATGTCCATCCTCTATATCAATCTAATTTCTTTTCAGTCAATCGAAGAAATATGAAGGGTTTCATAAATTATTTTAATTAATTGCCATTGTCAGAGCGTTGTTTTGTTGTATAGTGATTGCATCTTAACTACAACCATGACTCTAATGTTACAAGTACGATCGACTTACGATAGGGCGCGGTAAACAAATGGAGGAAATGGATAAATACAGTAATACTGGCATTACTGGTCAACATCGTCGGTTGTTCGGATAAAATTGGATTGAAGATCGTAAAAGTAAAGCTAAGATTAAGAAATTCAATCTTTATAGTCTTGTTGTATTCGTGTTTATTTTGTAATCATTTTACCGTATTTAAGATTGTTTGTATTACATTAATCGGTCCCAAAATGTGATTCATGTCATTCGACACACCCTCTCTGTAGAAATTCATCCGCAACAACCATAACGTTTTTCTTGCGTAAAAATTAAACATAATATCGTTGTTTTGTAGTAGTATTAATTGAAGATACAATTGATTTACTTTTATATTCAAGCTATTATTCATTGTGAACGTTTTAAAAGAAATTGGTTTACAGCTGTTGCTATTTTCTATTGCGGATGCATCCACTGACACGTGCGGTCGCGTAAACCTGATTGATCGCTAGATGACGATCGGGCAAGCCCGACGCCATAAAAAACTATTTTTAGCATTAAAGTCACAAGGTCATTGATCTTAATGTCATTTGAAAGAACTTTATTAGTGGAATATGCATATGAAAAATGAAGTCTGTATCTCCTATGGTTCAAAAGTTATGACGAAAGTTCGAAAAAGCTATTTTTAGCATACAGGTCACATTCAGGGTCAAAAGTTCATTGACCTTGGTGTTATTTATATGAGCTTAATTAGTTAGGTAGGCATACCAAATATGAAGTCTCTATCTCCTATGGTTCAAAAGTTATGGCAAAATTTCGAAAAAGCTATTTAAAGTATGTAGGTCACAGTCAAGGTCACAAGGTCACTGACCTTGGTGTCTTTTGATAGAACTTTAGAAGTGGAGTATGCATACTAAATATGAAGTCTCTATCGCTCAAGGTTCAAAAGTTTTGCCAAAGTTTAGAGTTTACAACAGAAAAACAGATATTATAAAAACAGACAAACAGTTGAACAGACAAGACAAAAACAATATATACATTGGATCTATTGATCTGGGGACATAAAAAATGATAAAATTAGGAATTCAGCTACCTCAAACCAGATGCATGTGGGTCTGAGATATATATATATATATATAATGTCAATTTTACGTAAATGGCCTTATACGTGTATAATTAACCATTACTGATAAAGAAGAGTCACATGAGCTTGATATCGAAACGTACTCACTTATTTATATCATTCACTAACAAACAGTACTTACTAGTTACATCATAAAAACAGTACTCACTAGTTATATCATACACTACTACTGCTACAGAAGAATCCCGTATGTAGCTTGGTATCAAACTTCTGAACCTCTCTTGTCCAGCTGTATCCCAAAGCTGTAGTCGTATCTAAAAATAAAAATTACAAAGTATATGCCTAGGCTTATATAAAAAAACTGCTTACAGTATGAAACTACTGCCAAGCAATGTATCTAAAAAAAAACATACTACATGTACTTACAGTCCTGTCTTCCAAATACATTGTCTTTGATAAAAAGTCAATTCCTATTGTTGCCTGTAAAGATAAAAAAAATATGTTAGATTTCTTATGTTACTGAAAATACAATTGTGTATTTCCCAATTTCGTGATTTTTTCAGTGTTTTATTTCATCAAACTTCATTATAAAAAAAAAGTTTATTAATTTGAAAATTAAAATAAAGTCCATTTACACATGACATGTGCTTGATTGATACGAAATGTTGTTGATAAATACAACAAACACATTTACGAAACGAATTTTAGTCTAGGCTTTCTGTCCTGACAATAACATAAATGTCCACAAGTGACCCAGTCAACATCAAACAGAATCCTCACTTCGGTTCGTATCTTCCATGACTTTGGTTTCAGTAGTATGCAATTAGTGAACTTCAATCCCAATTGAATATGAACTCAATGTTAATATAGCGATACAAATCGGGATCAAAGTCTGGTTTTTATGCACAGCTTGAAACTACCGATTAGCTTTCAACAGTCATTCTTTTTATTATTTATAGACTCCTTTACATTAAAATGCACTTGTCCAATTGGACAAGTGCCATGCAATATATCTTGTCCGTATTTTCTTTTCACTGGTACCGGACAAGCGTTAATGTCGAGCCCTGTATATTCATATACCTTTATAACATATATAAGACATGTTAGAGATAAAAGTTAAATGAGAAGTATACTGTGAAATCACAAATTTTCTCAGGGGTTTAATTTTTGTTGTTTTCGAGGATTGAATTCATGTCCACCATGTAAAATTTTATATACAGTATTAAACATACATATATCTGTTCAATAATTCTTCATCGGGATTCCACAAAATCAAAATCCCATGAACCTAGACTTTTTCTTCAAACCATGAAAATTAAACCCCACAAAAATATGCGATTTTACAGTAAATTTGTACCTGATAGGTGTTGTCAAAGCTGTCGTACATAAACCTTGTAATTAGAGAGGTCTTCCCAACTGAAAATAAGTAAAAATTCAGCAACTTCAAGTTGAGATCAAGATCAAAGAGTTAATCAAAATTTTATGAAGTTGAAATTTGGTTCTTAAAAAGAACTACAGAATGGATGTTTGAGATAATATGTTTTTAAGAATTCCTTGTCTCAGAAGAAATGGATACATTACAATTTACATGCACATGTAAATTTTTTTTTTGAATGACTCAATGAAGTTGTAAATATATCACCTTACCTCCCATTTCACCAAAAAGTGATAATTTGAATTTGTCAATTCGATTCCAATCAGTCATTTTATAAATCTAATTTTCTTTTTTCTAAGTAGCATAAAGTCGTGTTTCTCTTGTCAGTATTTACTAAGTGTCTCCACGCTGGAAGTAGGCAACGAAATATACACACGCGCATGACTCATAATCAGATTGCGTTTTGTTTACAATGTCGAATTTTTTTTCAAATTCGGAACACCTGATGCACATGAACTTTTTGGTAAAATGTCGGAGGAGACAAATATGAGACCCAGCCCTAACTGAGACGTTGCAGGATGTGTGATGAGATTACTTGACACATAAACTGACAGGTTAACTTACCGCTCTGCTCCCCCAGAAATACCAGCTTAAATTTCCTTAACGGGTTGCCAAATTCACCCGAGGAACTCATTGTGGAATAAGTTAATTGTTAATATCACAGTTACAGATACAAATCAGCAAATAAATCACAAATCTCATATATATTAAATTAATTATAATCAGTCTTGACGTAGACACGTTTGATGAACCAATTCCCCTCAATGCGCTTGCGTGAAAATGACGGAAGCAAATTCTTGGTCATAACAACGTTTGCAAGGTTTTTTTTTTAAATTACTAAGGCGCGAACACTTGAACTTCAACAAAATTTTACATATTTTCCTTCCTTCCTTACTTACTTCATTATGCCTGCCACCCCTTTGGGGGCATAGGTCGCTGACAAGATTTCTCCAGGCTCCTCTAATATCTATCCAGTGCAATCGTTTTTTAATTTATTTCTTTCCAGTTCTTCTCCACTCTTTGTATGCCTCCAAATCTATCCCAGGCGCGGATCCAGTAATTGAAGTTAGAGGGGGCGCCAAAAGTAGACAAGGGGTCTGGGGGCCGCCTTGAGGCCCCCAGTGGGTCCAGGGCAAAGCCCTGGTGGGGGCCCAGGGGGCGAAGGCCCCGGAAGCTCCTGGATTCTAGAGATTTTGTATGGTAAAAATGAGGTCTACCAAGTAGACATATTTAAATTTTCTAGACGAAACCGTGATTTATGTTAACTTTGACAACTTTAGGGGGGAGCGCGCCGGGTGTGCCCCCCCCCTTAAATCCGCCACTGTATCCACCAGGTGTTCTTTGGTCTGCCTCTCTTTCATTTGTCTTGGGGGCTCCAGGATAGGACTTGCCTTGTGATGTTATTGTGGGCCTTGCATAGAGTATGCCATATCCATCTCGACCTTCTCTGCATTATTTCTTCTTCTCTAGGGGCTTTGTTTGTTCTTTGACACAAATCGATGTTGCTGATTTGGTGTGGCCATCTTATCTGGAGTATGCGTCTCAGACAAGAGTTGATGAATGTCTGGATCCTGTTTGTTGTTGTGACAGCCATCCTCCATGTCTCAGAACCATAAAAGAGTACAGCCTAAGTAACATTGCTGTGAAAAAGCCTAACTTTGGTGCGTGTTGTAATTGCCTTGGTCTTCCAGATGTTTCCAAGTTGCAGGAATGCTACTCTGGCCTTTCACTATTCTTGCTTTTATGTCCGCTTCCGTTCGTCCTTGTTGGTCCACTACGTTATACTGCCAAGGTAGGTGAAATGTTTTACTTCCTCTCCCACTTTTTTCCCCAACATTACTTTTACTATTGGAAATGTTCAGTGAAAGGCTGGTTGCCCCCCCCCCCCCCCACTTTATACTACATGAAAGTGATTTAAGGGAAATGTAGTGTTGAATATGACAAATGGGTACTGAGAGAAGTTGGCATTGAAAAAAGTTGGCCTCTAACCCCCCCCCCCCCCCCCGAAATAGGGTTTTCGAGTTTGAACAATTTCCTATTTTTTGCTTGTCAACTTTTTCAAGTAATTAAAAAAAAATTTTCTCTGGCTGCCCCCTCCCCCCCCCCCACTTCCAAAAATGATGCTACGTGGCTGTGTATATATCCTTTCCATCTGTAACCAATGAAGTTTGTGATGGTGTGTTTGCTTTTAAGATCTTTGTTTTTGCAATATTGATGTTGAGCCATATGATATCTGTGCTGATGTTTCTGTCTCCGTTGTAATTTTCTCCTGCATTTGTTCCTGAGTATGATACGAGTGCCAGGCATAGGTCATCCACGAAGTCTAGATCATCTAACTGTGACCATGGTGACCACTTTAATGCATTTCCCCTGTTGTCTGTGGATGATTTCATTATCCAGTCTATTGCAAGAAGAAACAAAAAATGATGACAGTAGCCATCCCTGACGAACTCCTGTTCTTACTTCGAATGGCTCTGTCTGACAGTACTGTTGTCCTCCATGTATGACCCTGCATGTCAGGTGTTCATAAAAGTTGTGCATGTTACATGTATTTATCAGTTTACAGGGAAATCAATAATGTCGCAGAAGTTTCCATATTGTCTCCCTGTCAAAAATTAAAGGTTTTCTCATAATCTATATATGAAGCCAACATTAAAGGGAGGAGTTCAGTTCCATTCAGCACATTGTTTGATGATAATGCGTAACGTTGCTGTCTGGTCCGTGCAAGATTGATCTACTTTTGTGAAATCAAGCTTGTTGGTCACGTAGCATATATCATCCATCTCCTTCATTCTGTTCAGAATGATCCTAATAAATACCTTCCCTGGAATATCTAACAGCATTATTCCCTATAGTTGGCACACAACCGCCGAGGTCTCCTTTTGGGGGGCTTGATGAGGTATCATTCTTTCCATTCTTCTGGAATTGTTTCTACCTATATTTTTAGAAAAAGCGGGAGGAGTATTATTTTCCTGGGAATATAAAATTATACGTTTATTATACATTAGATCTATTATATTTTATTCATGTGTATAAAGTGTAGAGTACTGGTAAATGACTTCACAATCTACTTACACAGTCTTGATAATGAGTCTGATCTACATTTTTAAGAGCATGTCCAGGCCTTCGAGTGCATGGCCAGGCAAAGAAAAATATGCATCAAAAGTAGCAACATCTGACATTTCCCTGACAAGTGAAATAAAAGTAGATCTATTAGAATCATAAAATACGCCTGGAAAACGCCAGATACTTCGGACAACTGTGTCCACATCAATAAATGAACGCATACAGGGTGTCACTGTTTCATAGTACATGTTACATGAACACTGAACCAAACTTCTAAGTGTTCACCTAACATTTTTTAAAGTTATAAAGAACTAATGCATGGAATAAGTAATTTTTTAATTCATAGAACTTAATAATGTGTATTTCAGTTTGATCATAGGCGTCGGAAGCGCTACACCCCCACTTATTTTGCAAAGTTACACATAAAATAGGCATTGAACATTGGGGCGTAGGTTTAGCCCCCCCCCCCGCCCAACACTTTTAAGAGGCACGTTGAAGTTTCGGTCCAAAAAGGGTAATTGGTAGTGGTTTGGAAAAAAATTGGTACTGAAAATGTTCGACCCTACCCCGCCCCTGAAATAGGTGGACTTTTTTTTGGTCTTACACTTAGCCCCCCCCCCCTTTTTTTTTAAATTTGCTTCCGACGCCAATGTTGATGTTGCGTAAATTTTATGTAAGAATGAACACCTCTCGCTCTAATTAATGCAAGACATCGATTCCTTATGGATACAGTGTACTTCTGACCAAAGGGTTGTCATATCTGCCGCCACACTTGCTGTATCTTTCTAAATCATTGAAATTGCGTGGAGGGAGAGGCTTTAGCATTCCTTTTTTTAAAATCCTAAATGTTCCATTGAAGTTGTTGATTAAATCTGTTTCTAGAGTGGTTCAGGACCATGCAACAATCTAAATAAATATGGTTCTGACGCGAAACATTGGCCTCAAACGAAGATCAAGATCACTTCTGGTTTGGTTAATTTTTTCTTAAGCAAATTGTAAGTTGTTAATGAAAAAGACGCGGAACCTATAAAGAAATGTGTACATATGTATGTTTGTTTACATTGTCAACGGTAAAAAACTTTCTTCCGCATGCCTTTACCCAAAGTTTGGTGTCGTCTAATCGTGTTTTAGGCTTTGGTACTGGGAAAAATTCCACTCCTTTCATGTATTCTTTATGCATGTACCTATTATCGCTGTTACATGTGCCCCAAGAACAGCGTTTCACCATTTTGGATTCAAAATAGACCGCCTTCGAATGTCGGGTGTCACGTGACTTTGTCGCTTGAGCGCTCGCAAAAAAGCTTATATCATTGAAAATATGAAAGAGGCCTATTGGTTTTTTTTATACTTGTGCTAATTTTTAAAATGAAATACATGAAGATAGCGAACAGAATTCAAGCTCAAAAGTCCATTAAACAATACAAAATAATAGCAGAGCAAAACACGGACCTCCGAAACACCAGAGGTGGAATCAGGTGCATCCTCTGCCAACCGTACACACCCGCCGTGTGCCCTTTGTCATGATCGGGAAATAACGGATAATCCGTCGTTCATTCAGTGTGTAAATAATGAACTAACAATAAGTATGAAAAACAACAGTCAGCATTTGACTTAATGATAAATTGTACTTCATGTATTTGCTTACAAGGTCAATGTATCGACCATATAGAACTTACGAAATGATGACTTTAAACTAGACAGCTGATATTCTTGTTCCATCAACTTGTTTGTCAATGAATTTACCTCTTTTTGGAAATGCTCTTGTGTATCGAATCAACTGAGATATATAAACTCCGTATGCAGGTGATGATGGTATGTTGCTGCATAAGTAAGGGAAGTTGAAAAGTCTTATGTTTTTAAGCTGTCGATGAAGGTGCATGAGATGGGGTTACTGCCCTTCGCAACATTTTTAAAAAGATTTTTTAAGACCGCGGAACATTAACTGGCAAAATTGGAAATATACAGCTTACGTCATTTCTATCTGTTACAATCAAAACATTCAGTGATAGACAGCGTAAGGGCGGGTACAATTCGACGCGGACGTTTGGAAAACATCGGATTGAAATTGCAGATCGAAATTCATTTTCAATCCACCTCAGCTACGCTACAATTCGACGCGGACGTTTGGAAAACATCGGATTGAAATTGCAGATCGAAATTCATTTTCAATCCACCTCAACTACGCTAGAAGCCACAGTGTTACTGACTTACCCAGAAGACAAATAATTTCAAATTTGGTACAGTTTGAATTTTTTGTCCAGTGTTTTTAAAAAAAAATATTAAGGGACAAATATTTCATTTCTGCTTGGTAAATATACGTTTGGTTTAGGGGAGGGGGCTTAACAATTTTAAGTAAAGTTGTCCAACATTTTACAGTGAGAATAAGTATAAAACTCATGCACTCTAATAATCCTAGAAATAAAATCTGTTGTCACGTAAACATTACATGTACAATGAAGCGCATTGAAGTGGTAAAATTTTCCGTTTGGATGAAACGTTCCGAGTCATGTTTTGAACGTCAATTATAACATAATGACATGCCCATATTTTTAGAAACGAGAAAGAAATATTCGTCGTAATGTTTTAGGACACCCCACTCTTCGTGACAAACAACATGGGTTACACTGAAATCAAGCTTTAATAAAATTAGAAGAAAGAATTAGAGACTCCCGCTTCCGTAAAACTCAAATCGCAACGAATATGAACAT